GCTCGTTTGTTACTCACTGCCGTGGGGACAAAAACCTTGACTAGAGTTCGTAAAGGATTTGCAAGCCCTGTAAGGGTCACACCCCCTGGAGCTTGACTCAAGCACCTGCAGGTTATTCTTCTCACTATGGCCCGGGGTTGCCTGTCGTACTCAATTGTGCACAACCCTACGCGGAAATGCAACTCAATAGAGCCTTTTGCCATCCCAATTCTGAGTATACCCTCTCAAGAGAGAGAGATTCGCGACGATCTTTTGCGGTCTAGGGATGAAGTTTTCGACAGAGAGATTCCAAGGCTCGTAAAGCCCTGCGATACAATGTGATTAGAAGTCTTCGGTCCACCGGAAGTTTGACACACGCATCCGCGTCATCAAATTTGCAGGAATTGCCAAAGCTATCACCTTGCTTCTGCCGATCTGTACCTCGAAGCGCCAAGCTCGTTCAGATGAAGTACGAGTTGGTTAGAACTTGGGGATTACTTACCCCTGTCTGTCAAGTTAGCCAGCCACAGCTGATGGTATTTCGAACTCATCTCGCTCCATTGGACGATCAACTCAGGAGAAGCTTTCTGTCTTCCCACCAGCTTGGTAGCATCCTATTGTGATGGGCAATGTAACGCCCCTTAGCACTCCGGAAGGACGGCCTCTACAATAGTGCGAAGATCAAATCTCTCGATACATCTGGTATATAAACATAACTTCAACCTTCTAGGCTATATGACAAATGAGTCAACTCTCATTCGCATTCTCTCTTTAATCCCGACTTCTTTCATTCCTTTTGAAGATCATTCGCTCGTTTTACCCTAATCGTGTTTGCTGAAGTTGATAATATGAAGCCTTTCACTCTTGCGACTCTGGCCACGGCCTTGCTTTCCAACCAAGCGACCGCTCTGCCTAAAATTGATGCCGACACGCCCATTCCTCTGAATGCTTTCAAGTTCGGTGCTCGTGATGTCAAGAATCCTCACCTTGGTGTTGACCCTGAGCTGATTCGCAAGTTTGCGTCTCAGGCTCCTACCAACCTGGGCAAGAGGGTTATCGACTTTGACCCCAAGGAGCAGCTCGTCGATGGTTAGTTTCCAGGCGGCAGAGTTCCAAGTCTCAAGATTACAGCTGACAAGTCAATAGTCCATGGCGAGCACGAGTTCAACCCACCCGACTTTGAGGCTGGTGATGTTCGAGGACTCTGCCCAGGATTGAACACTCTTGCCAACCATGGTTACCTCCCTCATAACGTATGTTTCCATACTGATCGACCAAGAACAAGCCACTAATCTTTCGATAGGGTGTTGCAACATTCACCCAGTATGTCACTGCTGTTGGTAAGGTCTGGGGAATGGCGCCAGACATGTCTTCTCTCCTCACCACTTTGGGTGTTGTTCTCGGCGGCAACCTCGTCGCTGTCTCTCAAGGTGGCTGGTCCAAGTACATGAACAACAATCTCCTTGGACTGTTCGGAACTCCACGTGGTCTCAGTGGTTCTCACCCCTTCTTTGAGGTTGACGGCAGCCCTACTCGTGGTGATCTCTACGACCCCATTGGCGACAACAATGACATGAACATGACCTACTTCATGGAGCTCTACAACCTGCAAAAGGACGCCGAGAACCCCAACTACAGTATTGAGGTTCTGTACGAGCACAACAAGAACCGCTGGCACCAGACCATTGCTACCAACCCCTACGCTTGGTTCGGCCCTGCTAGCGGCTGGCTCGTCCGTGCTAGCCCTTACTCTTTCACTGCTCGTCTTGCCGCCAACCGCTCTGCTGAGCATCCTGACGACGGTATCCTCGACAAGGAGATGCTCAAGGCCTTTTTCTCTGTTTACGGACCTGAGGATAACATGACCTACGTCGTGGGCCATGAGCGTATCCCCGAGAACTTCTACCGCCGCCGATATACCGACTATGGCATTGCTGCCAACGCCCTTGACATTGTTACTCACAGTCACCCCGAGGTCCTCAGGTAAGTCATCTCGTGATGGGTCCCGTATGAAATCCAACTAACGTCTGTCAGCATCGGCGGCAACACTAACGGTGTCAACACCTTTGTCGGAATCAACTTCGACGACCTTGCTGGTGGAGTCCTCAACGGAAAGAACCTTCTTCAGGGTAACAACCTTGTCTGCTTTGCTCTCAACGCTATCAAGACCGTCTCCCCTAACGCGCTGTCATCTCTCTTCGCCACCTTGTCTTCTGTAACTGATGTCCTCTTCGCTGCTCTTGAGCCTATCATGGGAGCTATGGACTGCCCCGTGTACAAGGACTTGAGTGTCAATGGCACGAACTGGCTCGACTACAACAAGAAGATGTACCCTGGTTTCAAGAAGGCTGGTGGCGGCTGGTAAAACTGTGACGGTAGACTTGTAGCAACGGGATGTATTGGCTTCGGTTTAGAAAGTTTGACTCTGTATATTTTTAGATAATGCACATACTATAATCGATGGCTATTGGGCAATCAATCCATCTTTATAAATCTCGCTGCCACTTTGAACGCGCCTCATGATCGTGTCAGTCTATAATGGCTGTTTGCAGTACAAGATGCCAACAAATATCAGACGTTTATAGCCTTTCTCGAACATCGCCGAGCACCTTTACCAGCCCTGGGTGAAGCTGATCAATAGACGTGCACCCAAGAAGTCGCATATTCCTTTCAAGCTCATCTTTGTAGATGCGAATAGCTTTCTCAAGTCCTTTCTGTCCATAGGCAGCCATCGCGTAGAGAAATGGGCGACCGATGCCAACGCCACGAGCCCCGAGACACAAAGCTTTTAACACATCTGACCCACGGCGAACCCCGCCGTCAATATACACCTCAAGCTTGCCCTGAATGCCTAGTTCTCTCAAGATAGGCATAACCTCTGCAAGGACATCGATTGGAGCCTCTGAATAATCGATTTGTCGTCCGCCATGATTAGAGAGGATCACAGCATGGACCCCGTATTCTGCTGCCTTTATGACGTCTTCAACTCGTTGCAAACCTTTGAGGACAATCGGCAGGTTGGTGATGCCTTGAAACCACGGGATATCATCCCAAGACAGAGTTGAGTTCATTATGAGAGACGGATCCAGCTCTGTTGCTGGTGCATCTTCAAATTCGTCGTCTTCAGATTCATTCTGCCGCGAGCGTAGGACCTTTTCGCGACTTCCGAGATGTGGATTATCGACAGTGATGCACAAGGCCTTGCAGCCTCGTGTCTCGGCGGCCTCAACGGCCTTCCGCGTCACATTCCGATCCTTCTTGACATAAATCTGATACCACTGAGTGCGATCGGGTTCCCTAGCATTCGTGATGTCGTCAAGAGGACATGATGAGTACAATGGTATCATTTGGATGATATCATGCCTGTTGCTTGCTCTCGCTAACGTCACTTCGCCATCTGGGTCTCCAAGCTTGGCGTGTGCGGTGGCTGTTATGTAGATTGGAGCGGATGTATGTGCTCCAAGCATAGTGGTAGAGATATCCACATGCTCAACGTTGACAAGAACCTTTGGCCGAAACCGTATGCGTTGGAATGCCGCCTTATTCTCTTTGATGGTCTGTTGCCGATAAATATCATGCTAAGAATGATTCGAGCAAAGTGCCAACTTACAAACTCGTCCTCAGCCCCCGTAGAATAGTAGTTCCAAGAAGATCTCTTCATAATTTGTTGTGCTACAGACTCGAAGTCCGATATGTTCACGCATTGTGATAGCTTTGGCTTGCTTATCAAAGTTTCTTGATTTTGTTCCGGTTCTTTGGACTGGGTAGTTCCATTCGCGGGTATGCCTACTGCGCTGGTATCGATATCGCCCAGGTGCTTGGATGGCTCCAGCCACTTATCAAGAACATCATTCGAGTGAATCAGATCGAAGTCTGCGGTAGAGTCTTTGCCCTAAAACAGTTGGTACGGGAGACTTTTGGGGAGGAGGCAACACATACCGCATTTTTCAGGATCACCTTCTTTCCTCCAGGGTGACCTATCGAAGGGGTCAATATGAGTACAGAGATGTGGGTGATGAGGGTCATATATACTTGTAAGAAAGTCTGTAAGATCGTAGACCTTGTTCTGTAGCTCTATTAGTGGGTGTAGTGCCGACTGAGCGATTTACCTACATGAATGATGAGCCAGCAGGAGTTGGCGTTGTTGTGTTTGGCAACCTCTGCGGGATGCAATACCATGATGTCGCTGTTGTCCAATTCTTCTACTCATTCGCAGATTGACACTTTTCTTCGAGTTTGTTATGCGACTTATTTGACAATAAAATAAATCTGTCAATGTTGATCCATAATCCCCATCATGTGCGAGTGGAGACAAGTGGTGCAATCACAGGCCGAGCTATAGCAAAGTCTGCATCTTGTGAAACGAAGAACAAAGGCCACAAGAGACTCAACGCAAGGAAGTTGCCTCAATTCTGAAGTTTGCATGAAAGAAGAATTCGGACAAATAGAATAAATTGAGATCTTCACAATGAGCTGGTATTGGTGGTTCCTGTACCCAAAGATGCAACAGTCACTCACTTCCTAAGGCACAAGGACGATAATGCAAGCAGGAAAAACTGTCGCATTCATCAAGCAATCTTCCAAGTCCGCTGTTGACTGATGGATGAGTTTTTACCTGGAATCTTGAATTCAGAAGCCCGGGAAAACTTCAAGACGACGGTGAGGCTGGTAGTGGTCGCGAGTCTGAGGTATACGTTGTCGCCGCATCTTGCCGAGATACTGGGGACAAGAGTCATGAACAGATCAAGCATCTCCTTTGACGTGGTCCAGACTTGAAAAGCCTAAATGTATGCATAACCAACAAGTAACAATGTGGAAATTGGGCCAAGCCGCCAAGCTTACATCTCATTCACCAGCGATCGAAACTATCGACACGCTAGAGTAACAAAACGATAGCCTCAAATTAAGCGATCAGCTGAATGCTCCTGACGGCTGTCTTCAAAAGTGTCTGGGCCTGTCAGAATATCTTGTATTGCCGGAAGCACCTTTCAGCAAACTCACGGTGATATCCCTTTCTCAAAATGCGGTTCCTCGTTTTTGTAGGCGTTTGCCTGCCGCTCATTTCAGGCTCGCCAGTTGACAACTCTCACTCACATCTATCCCCTCGTGTTATCACCAGCATTGAGAAGCCGTCTTGTGGTGTGTTAGGCTACAAGACAGACTCTTTTCTTACCAGAACACGGAAATGCCGTTTGGTCGATTGTCGGGAGCTTTGCTCTGTCATTACTGGCTGTCAGAGCTACGCGGAGAGCAGCGCCAGATGTCTTCTGTTCTCCTCCCCTGTGGCTGAAGGATTCCAACAAGACCCGGAGTCTCCTTATACACTTTACGACCTTGGTTGCTCTATTTCCTTGTCTTCGACCCCTGAAATTCGACCCGAAGCCACCAGCAGCGCTACTACTGGGCTGTCCACCTCAGGCACAGATGTCACTGCAACTTCAGATGCGCAGCCCTCGTCAACGGCAGCTACCTTTACTACAGAACTCAGTACAGAGCTACCTTCTGCATCGACTTCCCCCTTCAGTGAGCCGATCACCGCGACCACCACTGGCCTCACTACAGAGGCAGAGAACGCAAGTGCTTCAGTGTCCAGCGATGTTACCTCAACAGCAATCGCTCTCAGCGCGAATACCGAAACGACTACTACAGCAGACGCAACAACCACGACAGTAGACGAGCCTGCCACTACCAGCTCAAGTACACCTACCCTCTATATCATCCGCCTGGTGAACCCAGATGAGTCTACCTTTGGCTACGTCTCCTCTGCCTTAGACCACAATCGTCTATATGGCTCTAAGGAAGACGCTTTGGAGATTCAGATATCTCCACCTGAGCCAGGTGCCACTTCTCAACTAGATTTCGTTCATGCTGAGGTATTCGGTGGCCTCACGCGCTTATGTGCCGTTCAGAGTACTCATAACACAAATCCCGACTTGGGGCCAGACTCGTCTTTGTAAGTGAAGGGCTATCTCGAGTCTGCTATACAAAGCACTTACCAGATCAAATAGCTACAACTCCCTTTCTGCATGTACTCCTAGTAAGTGAAATCTGAAAACACAACGGACGACGCTCTTCATACTCTAGCCGGACCACTGACAGTAGCAGGCCCTCCTGGTAGTCCGCCAGCCAATGTTTACCACGCTTGGTCCAACTGGGCTGCACTTAATCGATATACGTTGGCAGCTGAATCAGCTATTGTGAGCCAACTCTGAGAAGTGAAGTTGCTCGATTCTAATACTATCTCTCAGTGGAACGTCGACCCTGACACTCTTGAGGTCACTGCTTCTTGGATAAATACCGACGGATGTGAGTGATAGTTTGTGTTGAAAGAGCGAGAATATTCATATGCTGACTTTGTCTTCTTTAGCCACTCCTCCTATCACCCTATTTATCTCTGAATCTTCCAACTGGATTGGTATGACTGGGAGCTTGTCTGCAATGCAGGCTGCCTTTTCAGGGCAACCATACAGACGCATTAAGTTGGCTCTTGAGCTGATTTTGTAAATGTTTTCAAGTTCCAAGCAGGACGACCAACAAGAAGACTTTTGGATAGTGACCCGCGTATCGATTTCATCTACGAACGATATCATCTCCTCTTTCGACCGATTCTAATGCGTGTCCTTCCTTGTGGAGGGATGTGACATCTTTTCGGAAGCACCTTGAATTTAGCACGGCGTGGCCGGAGGTATGTCTAAACTGTAAGATGCCTTCACCGATGGGCCTTTCCGTAGAATCAATGCAACTTGAGCTGAAGCTACGAAACATAAATTTTTTGTTTTGATCTGTCTGAACCAATCTCGTGGAGACGATTAGTGATCGATCTTTCCTGAGCTTATCTTGAACCTCGGAAAATAGCGATAGCAAAAGTTCCTCGATCTCCCCGAACTAACCCCATGGAGTAACCGGACCCGTTACGGGTCGTGTATCTTGCCCCCCCGAGGACTAGCAACGTTTGATCAACCATCTGCCTATCATGTCCTCGGGGAGTAAGAAAACATCAGATCTAGATACAGAGTGTCAAAATACACTCAGCACTAAACCTATGCTAGTCTACACAAGTTATTTTGTCATGTATGATCACGGTCCACCATAAGAACGGTTACACGGCATCTCCATGTTGCGACACGATTAAGTTAAATGCCTCGTGGAGAACTCAATTGAACTCTTACTCCAACATATTTTTCCCCTCACAAATAATCTCCAAAGATGGCATCGCAAACAGATCCCGCGACAGCAGAAACCAGGGTGTCCAAAGACCTGCATGATGAGACTGCCAAGCAAGATGTTAGCGCAGGTATCATAGTGCCTACGCTGGCAGAGGGCGACATGCCTGAGACAACCAAGAAGGAGATCTGGTCGTGGTACGCCTATTACATTGGTTCAAATGGACTCGCCTTGTTCAATTTTGGACCGACAGCTTTCCAGAATCTGCTGTCGCAGGCTGCGCCCAGTGATACTGGCCTTTTACCATTTGCGGGTCGCGCACGAGACGTCAACAGCATTGTCCTTCTTGCCAATGGCATATCTTTCGCTATTCAGGCTGTTCTTTTCCTCATTATTGGAGCCTACGCAGATTTCGGAACTGGTCGACGATGGATTCTTCTGGTCTGGTCAATCATCGCATATGGCATCGGCTTTGCCTGGCTGGGCGTCCATGATCCCAGCAAATGGCAAACCGGTACAGCTCTTTACATCGTCGGCTTGATAGCATATCAGATGACTCTCACATACTGGACGGCGGCGTTCCCATCTCTCGCCAGAAACACTCCGCAGCTGAAAGAAGCTGCCCTTCAGTTCGAGTCTGGAGAAATCACCCAAAGCGAGATGGATCGCAAAGATGAGATGGAGAGGAGCAGGCTCAGCAATGTTGCCTTCTATATCCAGTCTGTTGGCGAAGTAGTGATTCTAGCCATCATCGTGGGCATCATGTTCGGTGTCAAAGTCGACAAGAGTGCCGAAAACAACAACTGGGGACTTTCGGTTTTGATCGCTTTCGCTACTGCTTGTTGGCTTGTGCTCTCGATTCCCTGGTTCATATTCGAGAAGAAACGACCAGGAATGAAGGTCCCGGATCACTTGAACATGATTACCGTCGGATTTTGGCAGCTTTGGGAGGCCCTCACTCAAATTTGGCAACTGAAGCAGAGTTTGATCTATCTTGTTGGATACTTCCTTCTGGGAGATTCTCTAAACACCACCGTCACTGTTATCGGCACCCTTCAGAACCAGGTTGTCAGCTACGAGACTCTCACTTTGACGTACCTCCTCATCGTCGGTATTGTCGCTCAAGCTATCGGCATTGGTGCCTTTTGGCTCATCCAGAAACACTTCAACCTCAGTGTCAAGGCCATGTTCAACGCCGTCATGGTCTTTATCATCCTTCTGGACGGTTGGGGCATGATTGGCAACTGGACCGATAAGTTTGGCTTCAAGAACGTTTGGGAAATCTGGCTGTATCAGGCTTTCTATGGACTATTCGTCTGCCCCTGGTACAGTTACTCGCAGATCATGATCAGCTCCGTGACTCCCCGAGGACACGAGTTCCTTTTCTTCTCCCTGTTCAACATCATCGGAAAATCATCCAGCTTCATCGGACCCTTCATCAGCAGTGCTATCATTGATGCTACCCCTGGCGGCAACAACAACAGTGCTCCATTTTACTTCTTGTTTGCTTTGAGCTTGGTCAGTGCTATTGGTATTTGGTCTTTCCTCGATCTTGAGAAGAGTGCGCGGGAGCAAGAGTTGTTTATTATTCAAGAGAAGATACGCATGGGTGAGGAGTCAGAAGCAAGCAATATTGCATAAGTGTTGTTGGTTTTGTTCATAGTAGCTATAGTAACTTTTATTTCGTGCTGGTGAAGATCATGCTTGAGTTTCTTATGTTCATGAACTGGGAACTAGCAAAATATCATCTACGTTTATCGCTTGTCCCGTAGCAATAGACCGGTTAGCCGCGATTCCAGTAAGTATCGAAGCAGCACCATCAATATGGCTCGCTGCTCGCATGTACTCATCCGACACAGGCGTTCCAAACAAATCATTCAGCAAAACTGTATCTCCACCTCCATGAGCACCAACACCATCTTCGACCTTGATCTCTCTTGGTTTCTCGAAAAGAGGTCGAAGCAGAATCTTGCGGCTTTCCAGAGATCCCTCATGCGCCTGATCACCACCAGAGTTGACGTAGCTATTCTCCACGACCTCAACTTCAAGACGTCCGCCAGTTCCGTTGAAGCTAACTCGGAAACCCTCCCATGGTGCGTATGCTGTAAGAGAGTATGAGAGACTAGCCCCGTTGCGGTACTTGACGAGAACGTTCATGGTGTCTTCGATGCTGATACCGTCACCAAAGACGCTCTGGTCGCGGTAGTAAGCATCTTCGTGCTCAGCATCCAGGTACATAGCCTTCAACTGGGGATTCTCATCGAGGTGGAGGGCAAAAGGGTCGGTTTTTGCGACTTCGCTCCCATGGGCGCGGGTGTAAAACTTGGTTTCGCCGCGCTTCTCTGCGTTCTCTCGGCCGTAAAAGGCAAGGTCGCCTGCAGCAAATACAGTTTGAGGCCTGGTCTGGAGCCAGAAGTTGACAAGGTCGAAGTGATGGGTTGACTTGTGGACTAGAAGACCGCCGCTGTTGCGCTTGTCTCTGTGCCAACGACGGAAGTAGTCGGCTCCGTGGCTGGTGTTGAGCATCCATTCTATAGTCATGTCAGCTTCCATCTTATTCGCTATAGTCTAATCGACTCACCAAAATGGACACTTGTGACTTTCCCAATGGCTCCAGATCTCAGCAACTCAAAGACTTTGGTGTTGTGAGGCGCGTATCTGTAGTTGAAGGTGACGCGAACTTTCTGGCCGGTTCTCTCGACTGCTGAGAAGATCTCCTTGCATCTAGGGGCGTCAATGGTCATCGGCTTCTCAGTAATGACATTACACCCTAATTCGAGAGCTCTGACGATGTAGATATTGTGTGTTCGATCCATGGTTGTGATGATGACTTCGTCGGGCTTGGACTCTTTGACCATCTGATCGAAGTTGCTGGCGAGATATGTCGGAACCTCGCCATGACCGAGTGACTTCAGCTTTGAGTTTGCATAGTTCATTCGAGTCTGATTTGTGTCGCAAAGGGCTACGATGCATGATGTTTTGCTGTATTCAGTTGCGATGGCCGAGTAGAAGAAGCTTGAGCGGCCGCCGGTGCCAACAACGGCATATCGCTTTCGTGCTCCTTGAGTTTCCGCCATGTTGGTCTGGTATTGAATTGCAGTGAATCCGAGACCCCCAAAGTAATGAGAAGAGGCACGCGCGGTATTTATCAAGAAGGGTCACGATTGGATGACATGCTCACTTTGGGGGAGGGGGAACATTACTCGGGGTCTCTTCCCCCGAATTGTGGGGCTGTTTGCGGGGGTCAACATCAAGTGATGGTCATGATATTTGAAGGATGGCCTAATATCGCATAGCCAGAATTATCCCTCTAGCTCGTGGGAGAACATTTCGGTTGGCTATAGGAACATATGGTCCGGGTTCGCCCAAGGCTCAGAGAATGCGGCTTCCTGATGACTGAGTGACGACAAATGGGAGAGCCGCTTGACCTGCCCAGAAGCTTTGCGATCCAGTTCATGAGCTACCTGGAGCAGAAAGAATGGCTCTTTCGATGCTTTGGCGTTCATTTGGTCAAATTTGTTGCGGATTCTCACGATCAAACTCCAATCCGACATGACAGACGGCTGGTCGGGGAACTCGATGATGTTGACCAGCAAAACGATCAGTCCCGAAAGATTGCAGCAAGCATGAAGCCTGGTTACCTTGTCAGTCCTTACGCCTGTGGCAATAGAGGTCCAACTCACCAGGTAGAATACTCTGTCTCTCTCCCGAAAGCCGACAATTCTAGGCCAAGCCTTGAATGCGCGACGCAATCGGACCACGCACTAGGCAATGAACTGATCTCTTTCTGGTCAATCCTACCATCCATGCCATCATCCCCAGTCGGAATCACAGCGGGAGAAATGTAGCACCGTGCCCTATTGATCCACGGCTCATCAAAAGCAAAGGTCCCATGGATCCTGTAGAGGCATTCGAGGTATCGATTATACATGTTCATCACAAGGTGAAATGAGATTGTTGAGAAGTCTTGGAAGAGCTTGTCTGACCGTAGGAGCTCCTGCGGTAATGCGATGCGCCAGTTGGAGAGCAATTGTTCGATTCGCAGCTTGGTATCTTTCCGCTGCTCTTGTGACAGTCGCTGGGCTGTCCTGCTGTAAAGGAAGTTGTGGACTTCGCCTTGGATTATGGCCAACTCGGACCGAGCACGTAAGTAGTTGAACCTGGTCGTCCCTGTATATGACTCTAATATTCCCATGTCGTCATCTACACCCTGCTCCGGAAGCTCGAGATCGGTTTCAGCATCGAATTGGGTGTAGGGCGCTTTGGCGCGAAGGGCAAGGTCCTGTACTCGTGGCTTAGTTGCTGTAGATATACAAGTCTCAAGGCAATACCTTGTCCAGGATGTAGGCTATCCAGAAAACTCGACGGCGTTGTGCTGCTTCATAGAGATCGTCGGAGGCTCTTGCTGAAGGAAGTCCCATACTTTGTGCAAGACGGATGGCACTTCCGATGAGTACTATTGCGAGCTGCGGGTTCGTTGTTCCCTGGAATAGTATGACCATGCCAAGTAGAACCTGAAAGCCTAGAATGCCACCACTCCAGGCCATCAACTCGGTCGCGACAGACTGCACGTTGCTCATACACTGAGTCAGCTTTGGCTCCTCGATCGCTACATCATCCATGATGCGATAAGTCATAGCGAGAACAAGGTTTATAGCAGCCCAAGGGATCAGCTCCTTTCTTCCATCCTCAGAGTACCAGTCGACCGTCATTTCAATGAAGGATCCTTTTTCGAACAGAGGCATGTAACGGCCATAGCTATCGAAGTATCTCTCCAGTACGCCCAAGACTTCTTGAAGAGGTGGCAGCTCAAGCTTTCCTGTTTGCGCCAGCATGGCTCCTGTTGGAAACTGCGGTGAAATGCCAAGGCAAGGCAATGTTGTAGCTTGGTTCCACATGTCTGAGGCTTTATACACGCGGATCTCGGGGAAGTTCTGGAAGTTCAAGGCTGTCGCATTATGAGGTGAACTTCCGGATGGTTTCTCGGCGGCGATCTGGTCCAGCCTTGCTTCGATGTGAGCCAATCGTGACTCAAGTGCGTCATCCCTCATGAATATTAGTATGCTTGTACGTTAAGATCAAAGAGAATCTGCATAGTGCATACCTTGACAGAGTCGAAGAAGAGTTAGCTGGGCTTGCTTCAGTAGCAAGCGCCCTTTTTCTACTTGTGACAGCCGGACTTGTGACTTCAGTGATGCTACAGTCGACGCCGTATAGCTTGCAGTTTGAGCAGGTTGGCTTGGCCAAGTCGCATTTGATCTTTCTCGACACGCAAAGGTCGCAGGCTAGGACTTCTCAGCTTTGGGATTTTTGAACGATGTCTCTCGTTATGATCCGTACCCTTGCGCCTCCGCGCATAGCTTGCAACCCTCATGATTGATGATGGATGACTGAAGACATGCAGTGGTGTGAAGTCGGAAATTGGGTTCGAGTTGACACGCCACTAGCGATTGTTGGTAATCACACCAACTGTTTCTCTTCGGCTCTTCCAACAAGGTGATTGTAGCTAGGTGGAAGACTCCGACGAAAGCAGAACGTATCAATCATCGCAAAACTGGGTCAATGGATGAGAATGTACAGCAAGGGGCAATCCTTTCAGCGTCAGTCAACCAATTGCCGTGTCTCTTGTTGAGTCGCCACAGCGCATCGAGCCGGCACTATCAAAAACAGTTAGCGTCAGCTCCCCACGGAACTCCGCGGCCGAGATATTGATGAGCCGCCATCTACCGCGCGCCGACCGTCGCTTCTCAATACTTTGCGCATCGTTTCATGCAATCCAGGCTTGGTTGGGGATCATCGGCCTTCGATTATGCGGCTCACCAAAGGGACGATGGGTTGACAAATCAAGGTAAATCGCTCTCCCCATCGTAGCAATTGTGCTGCTTCGCGGATACTTACTCAGGCAAACCTTTACAGATGGGCTGGGCAGTAACACCGACTCTCAATCCTCCTCAACGTGAAGTCTCCTTACAAACGTCAGCCTCCGTGGTTAAGCGTTATGCTTAATCAAGGCCATGGCAAGAAGCGCTTCCCGAGATGATATATAATACGGAGAAGCGGCCGTTGTTGCTTCACACTATCAAGCTTCACGAATCACTAGATCGTCACTACCTCCGGCAACAGTCAACTAGCCCAACTTCATCTTCTCGTCATGGCTACTCCCTCGTTCCCTCAGCGTCCTTTTTCAGACTCCTACGATGTCGCCATCATAGGCGGCGCAACAAGCGGTTCGGCGATTGCCTGGTTTCTCATGTCGAACCCTGACTTCAAGGGCAAAGCACTCGTTGTCGAGAAAGACCCGTCTCTTGCCTATTCAGCAACTCGGGCCAGCAATAACTGCATGCGTCAGCAATTCGCTACCGAGATCAACGTCAAGATTGCTCAGTATGCTGCCGAATTTGTAAAAGACTTTCGCAAGAACCTCAAGTGTGAAGATGGCGACGGCATCCCGGACATCCCTATCCGCAACTTCGGCTATTTGTATCTCGCGGATACTTCTGAGTTTGCTGCTGTTCTCGGGGAAGATCAAAAGCTTCAGGCTAATTGCGGTGCTGGGACTAAGATGCTGTCGGCTGATGAGATCGCATCCAAGTATACTTTCTTCGCGCTGGACGACATCAAGGCAGGCAGTCTCAACACTGTTGACGAGGGTGCCTTTGACGCCCTTGGCATGGTCCATAGCCTGCGCGAAAGGGCTCAGCAGCTTGGTGTCGATTACATCAACAATGAAGTTGTCGGAATGACTCGCGTCGACGACAAAGTCACTTCCATTACTCTCAAGACTGGGGAGAGCATCAGAGTTGGCAATGTTGTCAACGCCGCAGGTACCAGAGCTGCCGAGGTCTCGCGCCTTGCTGGTATAGATCTGCCGATTGAGGCTCGCCGCAGATACACGTACATCTTCTCCGTCGATGAACCTCTATCCCAAGATCTCCCACTCACTATTGATCCTACTGGTGTTCACATGCGATCATACGGAAAGAAGGATTACCTCGTAGGCTGTCCTCCGATCGGTCCTGATGTTGCTGTCAAGCCTGATGACTTCAGATACGTGGAGGATGTATGGACCTTGAAGATGCTGCCTGTTCTCAAGAAGCGAGTTCCTCAGTTTTCCACGGCAAAGGTCACGCACTCGTGGATGGGCCATTACGAGTTCAACACGTTTGATCACAATGCCATTATTGGACCGCATACTGAAGTCTCTAACCTGTTCTTCTGCGCGGGTTTTTCTGGGCATGGAAGTCAACAGGCTCCAGCTTGTGGACGAGGTGTCGCAGAGCTCATCACGTACGGAGAGTTTCGCACTCTGGACTTGTCGGCTTTGGGTTATGGTCGGATTGCTCGCAACGAGCCCCTGATGGAACGAGCTGTCATTTAGATCTGTAGAATAGTCAATCGTGAGAAATGCTATACTCTATTGCCTGCCAAGTGCCTTCTTCGGCTTGACGTTCGTGAGATAGTTGCTATGTGAAAGCTAAGGAGCCCCTTCAGCCATAGAACAGAAGGCGCGATGATAATTTCCGGCTCGTTTGGCCTTGAAATCTAACAATCTCTCCTGGTTCTTGCTTTCTTTTCTTCCTTTGCCCTCAATGTCCTTGACTGTTTGTCGGCTATTGCGTATGATCAGAGCGCAGCATGCATTCCCATCTCAAAGCCCTGCCTATCATTTCACCAGACCTAACATTGACAGATTTGCTATTCCCGGTCCACGGAGTTCCCTGGTGTTCTAGACTTTACCTTGATTAAGACAAGCCGATGTCGTCATTTGTGTTTGCGACAATAGCCGTGAAGATACGAGGTACGATAATAGCCGCAGCGTGTCTTTGTAATCCGATTTCTTTCAGGGCGTCGGGGACACTTTCCCGTATGGGCGACCCTGGAATACAGGGCATGCCCCACTAAACTGCACTTTCAACATGACGCGAGAATAGCCGTTCTTTGCAAGAGCTGCTTATGAAGCAATCCAATTGCGATAAAACTTGTAGTTTCACAAGTTGAACATTGTCGCAAGCAGTTAAATATGCAAACTTGCCCTCTTCGAAAGTGACAAACACCAAACATCAATCACAGGCTTCCACCTCGACAAACACTAACCATGACCAAGATCTTCCTGTTAGTTCAACCCCGCACCTACTGTAACTTTAGCTGACCCGCTGGAATCACAACAGTACCGGCGCTACAGGCTACATTGGCGGTGATGTCCTACACACGCTGTTGAAGTCGCACCCAGAATACAAAGTTCGAGCCTTGGTTCGTGATGCTTCGAAAGGAGCGGCGATAACCAAGAGCTATAGCCAGGTGCAGCTCGTTACTGGCGGACTTGACGACGCAGATGTTATTGCACAGGAAGCCCAGGATGCTGACGTTGTGCTCCGTACGTTAAACATCCTTGTCTCCGATCCTAAGGCATTGTATTGACACTCAGTCTATAGATCTCGCGGCCACCGGCCACTTGAAGAGTGTCCAGACCATCTACGAAACCCTCTCGAAAAGGCCCGCAAGCTCGAAGCCTCCATACTACATCCAAATCTCAGGCGCGAGCACGTTGGCGGCTGGTGAGCTGGCCGACAAGTCGCGAGTCTTTGGCACAGGCAGTGATGTCATCTACAATGATCTGACTGGCATCGACTCAATCAAGTCGCTCATCAAGCAATACCCAAGCCGCGCAGTAGATAACTACATCTTTTCCGTTTCGGAGCAAAACTCGAATGTAAAGACGGCGCTGGTTGTTCCTCCCATTATTTATGGCCAAGGTCGTGGACCGGGCAATCAGCGCAGTATGCAAATTCCCGGGCTCGCCAAAGCGACGTTGGAGCGCAAGAAGGGTCTCCAAGTTGGCTCTGGTGAAAGTCGATGGGGGAACATCCACATCGCCGATCTAAGTCGCATCTTTCTCAGCTTGGTTGAGAAGGCGGTTGAGGGCAATCAAGATGAGAACATCTGGGGAGCCAATGGCCTCTTTTTCACTGGTGCTGGAGAATTGGTGGGTTTTGCATCGTCAATTGAGCGACATTTTAGCGCTAACAGATTGATGACAGTCATTTGCCGAGATCTCACGTCGCATCGCTGTCGCTGCAAACGACTTTAATCTCATTCCGACCGCAGAAGTCGACAATCTCGATGCAAAGGAAATAGACAGCATCATTCCCCATGGCTCTGTCCTGTTAGGAACAAACGCGCGCGCTGGAGCTGATCGGGCTCGAAAGGTCCTCGGCTGGGAACCAGAAAATGAAAGCTTGGAGGAGCATATCCCGACCACGGTAATTCAGGAGGCCGAGGCACTTGGTATTAAGGGTAAGAATCCCAAATCCAAGCTTTGAATTGAATACTTATATTGATGTTGATCCGAAATAGTCGAGCAATGGAGACACTGAGAATTCAGTAGTAAAGGAAAACAAATGATGAATGTCTCGAGACGATTCTGCCTATTTAGGCCAATCTACCAAAATCAGGAGGGATTCAATTCAGTTGCGCGAGGTTATCATTCTGAAGGTACCTTGAATGCCTTGGTCACCCCCAAAGAATTAGGAGATTAATAAATCCAATGTCCCCAAGCCCTTCACCACTCAGAATGGTCATCATCTTCTCATTTTGGAGGTTTCAGTCAATTACGCGCCATGTATAGGGTACGTACAAAACTCGCCAACCCCAAAGGAAAGGGAGAAAAAAAGGTACCGAAACCGCTGCGTGTATTTGCGTTGTCATCATCACTCAATGAAAGATGCCGCCCAGAAGCGCGTCCGCGGGGGAAACCCTCTCCATTTTCTTTCCGTACTTGAGGATTCGATGCATTTCGATTGCACCCCTGATTATGAAGTGACCCTTGGGTGTCGTCAGTGGTGGGAGGATAATGGTCCTTGGCTTGATACCTACAAGGAGGCCCTCGACATCCCCGACAAAGGCTGGAAGATGAGAGAGGAGGTTATGAAGCAGGATGATAATGTTCCTGATGACGAAGGTGCTGATGATTGGGACGTTATATGTATGCCTATTCCGGGGGATGAGGAGAATGACAAAACTCCTTCCGGGAAGCTTGCATCACTTCACCCCAACTGGCCCTGGGTCTTCACCATGCGTGGTGTAGATCGCTTTAAGTGGTGGCGGCAAGAATGTCGCAAGCGCTTTCACGGCTTCAACTTGATTAGCCCTTACGGTGCGCTTGAGGCATTTGAGAACATGGTAGGTAATCTTTTACATTGCAACGCCCTTGAGACCGGACTAACTAGCGTGTAGATAGCACATTTTGACTCTGTCTTCCAGCCTAACTGCAATTATCGTGATTTCTGGCCTGAAGTTGAAGGCCTTGCTCTAACTCTATTGCACGATCAGCATGTCTTCAATAGTAAGTCATGATACTGCGCCAAGAGATTGTCGTTATCTCTGACAACTTCAAGTCACCGGACTTTATGATTCAAGGCATGCGAGGGACGAGATCGTGGGCAGCCTAGTCCTCGCTACCATTGACGCTCTGAAAAGGCAAGATGTATTCAAGCCCAACTCAGAGATCCGCAATCTCGGTTCGGTACTGCTCGCATTTATCCATTGGAGGCTCGACATGTTCTATTCGTCCATCGTCTTTTTCAACATCTACGAAGAGAGCTTGTCTTGGATATGTAAGGTCGTTGACCTTGCTGAAGAAGCCGATATAGAACTTTCAGCTCCCTACCACTTTGATATCGATTATAGAAAGTTAAAAAACCTTCAAGGTATCCCGACTGGGTGGAGGGACAAGTGGGAGAATGTCGACTGGCAAAGCCGGGTAAGTTTCTTTACATTACCCTTAGAAGGCATAGTTGACAGGTTTTAAGCTCAGAGACTATAAGCATGAGAAGGGATCTGACATCCTCGGAGGGCATGAGTTTGATATTACTACAATGACTGAGGTTGAGCGATTCAAACAGGAACATAAGTAAGTGCCCCATGAAGAAGATTCTACCCAGCCACTAAGATATTTTTCTATAGATTGATACGCGAAGGTCAGAACTGATGATAAGTATGATGCTGAAAGACGAGTTCTACTAAAGAAGAACCCAAGTATATGGCTTTCGCTTGTGGATGTATAGTGGATATCAGACTGGATGGGGCTATTGTTCCTTGTGTAAGATTATTTGAATTTGAGAGTTATTTATCTAAGCTCATTTCTTGTTCAACAACTCCCTAGCCGCCTCGCATGACTTCGCAAGGTCAATATTAGAGATCACGCCAATTCGCTCATTGATCTCCTGCTCAATCTTGGGAATATCCTTTCCAACACCCTCTGCCCTCCACTCATATGCATTTCCGACAAACCTGCTGCTATCGACAAGCCATTGGCCCCTCTCTCTTCTCGACTCATCATAAGCGGCAAATGCAGCCTCGATATCTGACAGATTTTGTACGCGCTCATCGGCGAGAATCTCTGCCATGACTGCGCTATCTTCTATACAGAAACCTGCTCCAGCGCCGTGGTGAGGACTTGTGGCGTGGGCGGCGTCGCCGAGGATAGCTATTCTGCCTTTATAGAATGATGGGACGGGGTTGTCACCAAGGTCGAAGATAGCCCACTGCGAATATCAGTCAGTATTTGGTCGTTATAGATGCTGAATGTTGGACGTACCACACTGAGAGCCTCTTCTGTTAGCTTCAAAAGGTTCGTCACGGTGCTGTTGTAGCCCTTGAAGTCGTCCAACGCATTCTGGCGATGCGCTGTCTTTGTGAGCCTTGTAGGATCACTCCACTCATTCGGATCTGTGCGGAACGCAACAACGTTGAGCTTCTCGCCGTGGTTGACTTGGAAGGTCAAGACATGACCATCTTGTCCCATCTGAGTTGTCAATATCATGTCCAGGATCGAATACGGGCCATCAACTTACATGCATGCAGGCGTTTCGCGCCCTCTCCTCACCGACAGCCTCAATGGCCTTGTCCATGGGAATGAGACCACGATAAGCATACTTGTGAGAATATCGAGGTCTTGCACATGGGTGATTCTCTCCAAAAAGGATTCTCCGGACGCGAGATCCGATGCCATCACAACCAATCAGAGCATCGGCAAATGCCGTTGTGCCATCGGAAAAGCTCATGCGAACCTTGCCATTGGGTTCTTCCACTGCGTTATCAATGTGCTTGTTGAACTGCACCTTGTCCGAAGGTAGAAGGTGAATTAGCTCATTAAGAAACTGAGCTCTGTGAACACCGTTCTGGCCGAGAGGAGTCTTGATGCTGAAAGCCACGTTGTCATCCTCGGTGGTGCCGTCTAGGAAGTCAAACCAGGTCTTGCGCTTAGACTCCCAGCCATTCCAGGTGCAGACTTTGAGAAAAGCATCGTGCACACCAGGATGGCACATCTTCATCGCTGCCACGGCATTAGGAGTGAATGAGACACCTGCGCCAATCTCGTGGAAATTGTCGGCTCGCTCATAGAGCATAACGGGCACATTGCGATGGTGAAGGGCGATAGCCAGAGTCAGACCAGCAATACCACCGCCGACAATGGCTATGTCGAATGGCTTCGTGGTGTTCGATGAGATAGCCATATTGATTATAAATGATGATTAAAGAAAGAAATCTGATTCAAGCAATTGATACAAGGTAACGAGTAGTGGTTATTCTTTTAATAATAAGGAATGAAGATGCTTTTGCTCACTCCGGAACGCTAGCTAGTCCCCAATCTGCCGTCATAGACGCATCCGACTCTTCCAGACCTAAAAAAACCAAGAAACAGCCAAAAAGTTGGGGAACACCCGGCTTCCGACCCCCGCTCGCTGCTTTCCGACGCTTTTGGAGTCTGAGCTCGGGGCTTCCTTTGTGGGGAAGATCTCCACGTTGCTTCCGCGGAGACTGACTCGGTAGTTTCTGAGTCGATCTTCTAGATCAAAATAAGCCTCATAATTATTGGATGAGGACTGAGTTTCAAGCTCGAGACACGGCACGTGGCCACTATCAGGTTCGGATGCTGGGTTTCATGAAGGGTTCTTCAGATATTTGGCATGTTTGACCTATCGGAGGACCGTATTCTCGGAAGCTAAAGAATGGAAGCCAACTAAGCTCCGTTTACAGCCAACAATCAAGCTTTGAAGGCGCAGGGAGAAGCTGCAAAGAATATATCTAATACAAAAATGGTAGGTTGCAGCAGATCTCCAACATCTAGACCCGGCATTCGAGCGTCACATACCCCACGGGGGAGGAAAGGGGTTAGCTATACCCCGAATATGCCTTAGTTCAGTGACCCGTGTGTATAAAAGCAGTCCCGATAACAACCTGGTTTACCCCAGATTCTGCTCCATCATCTAAACTTTCTTTCCGAGATGTCTTCTAACCCTACCATTGTATTTGCCCCAGGCGCCTGGCACTTGGCCTCTTGCTTTGACCCCATTCGCGAGGCCCTTCACAAGCGAGGATGGACAACCGAAGCTGTTGAGTACCCATCCGTAGGGGCAGAGCCTCCCACTAAGGGTCTTGACGATGATGCCGATGCTGTACGGACTGTTCTTCAGCGTCTAGCCGATAAAGGAGAACAGATCGTCCTTGTTGTCCACTCATATGGTGGCTTGGTCGGTGCCAATGCCGTGAAGGGGCTTGGATACCGCCAACGCAAGGAGCAAGGTCTTTCTGGTGGTGTCATCATGTTTGTGTACCTAGCTGCGTTTGTGACGCCGCTCGGCCTGAGCATCAAGCAAATGCTCGGCGGTCAATTCCTGCCCTGGATGAACCCCAAGGTAAGCAAGCCCAGGCATCCTTGGGAGAACGAGCGCATTCTAACCACCAACAGGGAGATTATGTGTACGCAGACACACCAGAGGAGATTTTCTATCACGACCTAAGTGGCGAGGCACTCGAAAGCGCCATGAAGACGCTCAAGCACCAATCAGGTCGTGTTTTTACAGATACTGTCACATACGAGCCATGGCACGATATCGAGACCATGTACTTCTTCTGTGACGAGGACAAAGCACTGTTCCCCGTGGTACAGGAGCAAATGGCAGGTATGCTGGGTCCGAATGCCGTGCAATTTCACTCAAAAGCATCGCACTCCGTCTTCCTGTCGAAGGTCGATGAGACAGTTAAGGGAGTTGAGTTAGCTGCCGAGGAGGGCAAGAAGAGAGCGGCTTAGGTGTTTTGACGGAGTATACAGTACTTTGGAATTGAGATATCCTGTTAGCTTATGAATCCAAGTTTCTCATCACTAATCCTGAATTGTACATGGTCACCGAGTTCTCTCTGCTCAGGTCAAGTATAGGGGAATAGATCGAACGACCTTTCCATTGAATAGAGCGCACTAGAATGTATGAGCCTGACTGTCATCAAAAGCCCCAGAATTGTTCAGCAACAAATTACAAAACGATGTTCCGACCTCGATAAACGTCTGCGGATCTGAATGAAAGTGAATAGGACGCCTGACACCTTCACCCTCTCTTCTCAAGTGCGCACAGCACTCGGCATCTTCATTGTACGGCTGACGCTGGAAGTGAATTTGGCCACGCTCCTCTGGACCCATCTGGTAAAGAGGAGCTCTAACCTCGAGCTTTTGCATGTTGGACTCTGGGCTGCTGCAGAATTCGAAGATAGGCTTGAACTTTCCGGGGTCTAGCCACATAGGTCCTATGAACAGTCCTCCAGGCCGAGTTCGCTTGAGAAGGTTGAGAACGATCGACTCCTTGGTGTGTTGGAACCGTAATGTCAATCGATTGAGTTTAGGGAGGCTGGGGAGTTCTGAGACGTATTCCAGGATCTTCCAGTTGGGAAATTGGAAGCCTTTCAGATCTGGAAGTCCGGGGAGAGGGATGCCGAGGAATTGGTAAGCGAAGTCTTGAAGTCGAGGACATTTCTGGACAAGTCTCGCAAGGCCAGTAAAATTGCTTTCGTTTTCAGCTTCAGCGCGGATCTGGGGCGCTGTCCAGTTCTGTGACTCTTTCAAGCCAAACTGTGTCGCCAACCTCTTCCCAATCCTCCCCACGGTCTTTGAAGGCAAACACCCGTGTTGAGATGTTGGTGTTGAGAGATGTCACGGTCGCCAGTACATGCGCGATATCAGGGCTATCCCAGTCAATTAGGTTGAGTTGATCGCTAGCCAAGGCGAAGAGCTTCATGTCTGTATCGTTGAACAGATTGAGAGATTGAATTTGAAGCTTAGCAGCAGCCAGTGATTGCATTGTGACGAAGAATGTGTCGTTGGTGCACTGCCAGGTGCTTCTCATAGTGGAGCGCTCCTCGAGTTCGCTCTTGATCTGAATTTGATGTTTGGGACGTCCCTCAGCGTGCATCCTCAAAGCGACGATGCCCAATGGATTTCCGGCGCCCTTTGCAAGCGCTGTGAAGGCTTTGGTGAGAAGGCTGGTCAATTCCTCGCGAGTCGCGGGCGGTTCGCTCAACTGCCTTTCACCATCTTCATCGTGGACACCCATTATCGCCAGGTTCTTATATACAGTACCTGATTCAGCATCTTGGATGAATTTCTGTAAATGCTTTGGGGTAAGAAACACTATTCTGTTGGCCATTTTTTACTCTGTCACGATCAGTCGCCTGCGAGATGCAAGAAATGGAATTCCCCGCCTGAATTGCTAATGTCAAAATGAAATCGTGGGTGTAATGGGGCTTTGAATCAAACCAATCAGCTTAGATCTACTTGCCCAAGGCCGAGAAGTCTTTAGCGCTCTATCAAGGACTGGACGAGGCTAGTCCATGTCAAGGTTCAACTTCTCTGAATATGACAGAAGAAGTAAACCGTCAATATTCAATACGCCTTATGAGAGGCAATTGGCCATGTTTGAGATCACATATTATACGTGCTAAGACGAAAGGATTGTGCCTCAAGATTGTCAATTCAAGTATCTGATTCTGGGCGAGGCTTTTATTTCCATCCATGACATGATAGTCAACCCATCCTCCAAGAAGTGAATACGAGTTGGTACCTCAGTTTACTTGGGAAGAGTAGGGACGGCGGGGCATTCAGTAAGGATTCGAATAATAATTCTGATGGGGCTATGAAATCTTTAGCATTGATTTAGAATCATACAGATAGCGATTTGCTTACCAAACAAAGATGTCATCAACTCTAACAACGCTGTTGAGGTCGAGGTTTGGGAAGCAAGTGCTGATACCAGAGACCTGGAGAAGACACGCAGGGTCCAAGAGAGTTGGGACCTGTCGCTCCTTGACCTGAGGGGTCGCAGCCGCGGCGACAATGGCAGGGAGAGCAAGGATGAATGAGGCCTTCATTGTGATGGTTTTGGGGGGATCTGAGAGATCTTGGGTGTAGTGGTTGTTTGATTGTTGTGATAGATGAGTGTGATTGTGAGTGATGAGGATAGACAGATGAGGAGGGATGAACGGGGTTTTTATAGATTTCCGAGTTCTCAAGATCCAAGGCAAGGAGTCCCTCAAGGCATCTCTGCTCCCTGCCCAGCAAGCAAGTTCTTTGTGAGTGTCTGAAAACCACAAGTCATGAGAGGCTGGTCGAATTCCTCAAACAGTCGTCATCTGGCAAAGTTGAAGCTCACGATAGGTACATTACTTTCCATAGGCTATTGGCAGTCCCAACTTGTCAAAGCCGTCTCATGGCCGTGCCAAGACGCTTAGTGTTGTACGAGCTCAACGTCCTGGCGATTAAGTTTGTCTTACCGCGTTGGGCCAGAAGCATAATTGTCTGGTATGTGACATCTCAACTTGGCAATGTTCATGATAATTCTTGATATTCTGAGACCTGCCGCTGCCATCTATGTCAGAGGCGCCTGTCAAGGCAACAACAACGGTTGATTTACTGACGATCAGGGCGAAGAGCCATTCTGAATGGACCGGAAGATTCACTGCTTGGCTCTTGGCTCGAGCATCACCGAGGCGGTGAGAAGGATTCGAGATGAAGACATGAAGTGAGGGTTGGACAAACTTGATTTTGACTCACGTGTACATCCGTAAAGGTTTTAAGCTGCATCTACAATCACACGTCACTTCCTTGGTTGCTTGAACCTTTGCTAACTGTTGTAGGTCTTCTCAAGTGTGAATGGAGTCTTATTAGCTACCAGAGCTTAATCTAGGGTTACGACCCTACACAATTTGATCTGACACAATTCTAGCTGCTGCTACGACGGTGTCCTGCCGCGATAGAAAGGCAATCTTTTGAGAACAGAACTTCACTCAAGAATTTGGTCGTGGATTGCCAACCCCCGCAAATCATTCGAGTTGTAAGACAACAGGGCCCCCCCCTTTCTTCAGCCGCACATCAAGCGGCAAGTGCCGTTTCATTCATTATTGGCCAATCTTTGCAGAGTCTGATCGACACCAAGGGAGAACGTCTTGTCTCATGTCAAGCGTTACGGGCCATCAACTTCTTTGATCTGACTGGTGCAAAGACGGTGATCTGCAAGCCGTTGCTGCTTCCCGTAATATGACGATGGACGGGTTGCTGATCTCTATTCATTCGCATGTGGTTGTGTAGAATACGAAAATTCTCCTGTGGGGCACCTACCATCCCTTCCTTGTAATAGGACGCGACATCTCTCCCTTCAGTGGTTGGCTGTCTTAGTCTCGTAAAGTCAGATGCAACCCACGATCTCATCACAACCAACATCGACCGGGGGCCATATCCGAGTCACGTCAGTGGACTCCCAATCTTGACATCTCCGCATCAAAATCTGCAAGTCGTCCAAAAAAGAAGAGGCGGAAACTGCTATGGCAGCTTGTCCGTCTCTTGGCTAACGAAACCGAAATGGAGCTGCGTATGAACCCCCAATGTCTCGGAGCTATGAATATCAGTTTTGCGGATGTCGGTCAGGCGGAGTTCCCTCAGCGGTAATCCGGATGCCCAGCTTGGCACTGACCAAGTGCGTTAGGCGGGCTGTCAGTTACATAACTTATCGGGATATAAATTGAGCGGCCCGTTGCGAGCGGAAGTTTACTTGAGAAGCTAATATGAGGGGCTGGAGGCAAAGTTAATCCCGGCTGGCAAAGTTTGTATTCTGCACGAATAGCACCTTGAGCTTTCAGCCAAATTCTGAATCGAGTGTTGAGTTCCATATAATTACTGGATCTTATGAGACTTTCATGTAATATGCCTCAGGCCAGCAGGTCTGGACTTGGGGGCAGTGGAGACACATTTTCTGCTCCGGCTACCATTTCACGATGCCAGCCAACAGCTCTTCTCTCTCTTCTGGTCATTTGATGAAGCGGGATGATGCCCCCATCAGTGTCTCTGCTGTTATGTCACGGTACGGTAATTATGACAGGAAGACCTCTGCCGTCATACCCGCCAATGTCTCTGCCTGAGTTGGTTGGTAGGTTGAACATGCTGCATGGTCGAAGAATGCGACAGCTGACAAGTGGCAACGAAACGGCTAGCATTAACCTTAACTCTTGAAAACCTCCGAAGGGGTGAGAGTGGTCGGATGTGATAGATGATATTCATGATAGATGTACGAAACTCTACATCGATCGCCGACATTCATTGTGGATCTATCGTTTTAATTCAGTAAGGGAGCGTGGGCTGAGGAGAATTTTATGACAGATTGCACTTACTCAATCGATCCCTCGAAGACGTATACACCTTGATGATCTTTGACGATGTACACGCCCGTGCCACGTTGGGGTTGGGCCAGCTGATCGAAGCTTACGGTTGGGAAAGGCCTGCAACTTTGACTTGCTATAGGCAAGTACTTTCAGTACTCAGCGAAATTCCTCACACTGGCTTGGTTTTGTTGAAATCGGAGCTACTGCTACTTAGGCATCGCCGATCAGCCTCAAAGCAGATGAAGGGATGGGGTTGGTGGCGTGCCATCACGAGCTGGGAGTTGAACCTTGTACCCAACTTCGCCGTGAGAAGCCAGATCAAGTCCAACAGATAATCCTGTATGTGTACTCATTAGGTAACTGGACTTACCGTTATGGGCCATTGGGTGGCGTATTAACACCACAGTAACGCTGAGGTGAGGTTGAAGCCATCGAGTGTTTTGTTTGATGGCGCCGCTACCATTTATAAGCGGGAACAAAGTTTAATTGCTTCCATGGACCGAGTAAAAAAGAAAAGGGAAAGAAAAAGGATTCCCTGCATGCAGGCCTAGTAAGGCTATTGCACGCGGATTATATTGAATTTACAGTAATACAATAAAACGAACGCCCTTCCGACGATACCTTAACCATGAAGTCTGCAAGCGCCTGAAGCTCAGTGTCAGAAAATGAGATTGAAGTAAACTACCCTATAGTTGTGTATTTTCCATCAAAATACCGTAGGGTTGCCCGATCGCCAAAAATAGTAAGCGCCATTTAGAAACTATCGAAGAATTTGCTTTGTTGGACCAGTGCGAGCCATGGCGCGGATCCGCGTATTGCACACGTTTTACGAAGTCAAATACTCGTATGCTTTGCGATATTAATATTTAATACTGACAAGCCATCTCATCAATGTCGGCAAATATATCCGGTGCATATCAACTGGCTCTTGTGCTACTCCATTACGGGTTTTGTGTTGCTTACGACGTCAGGTAAGGAGGAATACAGGCTCTACAGGTGTTGCATGGCAATAGTGCAGTGCTTGCACAAACCACGTACGGGGCTTGATAAGGTATCACACGGAGTTAAAGGAATGTTGTCCGTTGGGAATTGTGCAACACGGAATTATGTCAGAGGCATGTCTTGTGCGATGAATGCGAGGCAATATTCGGCATTTTCATCACATTACCAATAATTAAGCAGCTGAGATCGGTCTATTGGTGATGATCATGCTTCGCCAATAACAAAGAAAATGACGTAAATGATTTCAGTGAGGATCTCACGTAATCGCAGATTGATTGATTGATGAATCAGTCAATATCTCGGTCGGAGGAAAGTAGTGCGCAACGCCGACCGGCTTATCTGGATTATGCGAAGATCCACGAAAGAGCGAATCCTTCCAGTCACATTTTTAGGAGGGGGGAGGAAGTGGGCATCTTTTGTAATCACAGTTATCTTAGCGCCAAAGTCGGCGAGTCGGCCACGTCGCGACGCGAGGTGCCGCCGGCTTTTACTGCTTTTTAGTAGCTAATGATCGCCCTGACCCTTACGCGAGGCCCCTATAGGGTTTAGCGTGTGATTGACTCAGGCCTCGCTGCTCGGACTTGTCTAGATTTCCGACCTACGACGGAGGAACTCAAGAGTCCAGAATATGCGGCCATAGTAATAGCATGGCACCATCGATCAGATGGATCTGGCTATTTAGATATGCAAGCGTCGCACGATTGTTTTAATTTCGTATCCATTAATTAATTACTTAGACAGATAAGAAAAACAACTCCCAGTCTCCATTAATCGTGGTCTGATTCTTTAAAACTCTTCAGCTACTTCAACCCCTGCATCTCGACAAACATCACCTACCCCTTTCGTTCAGTTCAGTCTTCAATATGGCAGTCGATCTAGAACAACAATCATCCTCCCCTGCTCCCACGTTACACGACGAGCCGGCCGTCATGGAGGACACACAACGACATGGCATCAACTCAGCAACATGGCACGGCCGAAGAGGTCTTGTCATCAAGATCCTCACAGGTGTCATGGTTGCCATTCTCGTCGTCTTCCTCGCCGACCTTTCATACGTCTTCGGTTCCACATTCGAGGTCGGTAATCGAGTATCAGGTCTGAAGATTCTAGTCGTCGACTATGATGGTGGTGCTGTTGGAGAGTCTGTCGCCAGCGCATACAAGAACTTCCAGGACAAGACTTTCCCTACACTTGAGTTTCGATCCGCCGATGACTACCCCGAGACAAAGGATGTTAAGCATGGCGTCTGTCACGCAGATTATTGGGGTGCTATCTACATCAACAAGGGCTCTTCTGATAAGCTTGCTGCTGCTATTGAAGGTGGCTCTGCTGCCGAGAACTACAACCCTGCTGATAGCATCACCTACATCTACAACAGCGCCCGATATCCTACTGTCGCTTCTGGATACTTGGTTCCCAACTTGCAAAAGGTCATCAGCGCCGCTCGAGGTAGCTACTACCAGTCCCAACAGGGCCGATCCGCCCTACGAAGTGTCAACAGCAGTGATCCAGCTGCCGTCGAAGCATATCTCAACCCTATCCAAGGTACCGCCGACATCATCATGCCCACCAACCAGGGAAGCCGAAACCTCTACAACACCATCAACATTGTAATGGCTATCCTTGGCCAGTTCTTCTATGTCCTCGCCATGAACGGCATTTACGACAAGTTCGGCCTTCACAAGAACATGCGCATCCGCGACCTCTTCATCATGCGCTCTATCAACGGCATAATATTCTCTGCCCTCTATGCCCTGATCGTCACAGGATATATCTGGGCCTTCCGCGAAGACTGGGGTGTTTCTGGCGGACAGTTTGCTCTATCCTGGTTGACCTTTTGGCTATTCATGGATGTCAACTTCCAAGTACTAGAAACTCTGATTGGAAGCTATATCCCCATGGCCCTCACGCCTTTCTTCCTCCTGACTTGGTTCATGATGAATGTCGGTTCTGTCGTGTTCCCCTTTGAGCTTACAACCGGATTCTACCGCATTGGTTACCTTTTCCCCGCTCATTCACTATGGATCATTCTCATCGAGGTCTGGTCTGGATGCGGCAACTCTCTTCACATTGGACTTCCTATTCTCTTTGCTTGGTGGGTTGTTGGACATGTCACAGCGTTCTTCGGTATCCGAAAGAGGTGCCTGGATCAGTTGGAGAACCTTAAGACTGAGGATGGCAAGCAACAATAAAGTAATCACTCGGCTGAGTGAGAGGACTTTTACTAAAAGTGTATTTGTACGGATTGGATGACATAGACCATTGGACATACCCCTCGATAGACTACTACGTAATAATTATTCCACACAATTTAGACAATCACTTTTGCTTCGAATATCTAAGTGCATGATAAATCCCGCAGTTGACGATTGTGCATTTCCCAAGCGAGTATCCAACTAACTAAGTCACAAGACGAACTTTGAGCTTATCGCCCTTGACAATCTCCTCTTCCTTCGACATCAGTTCGGGAAGATCCCAAGTAAGATTGATGTAACGCCCGGCCAGCCAAGGTCGCTTTTCTGATGCCAAATAAACCAAAGAGTTTGCACAAAGCGCAGGAGTGTCAACAAAGGCTATTTACTGTTAGCAGCAGATTCTGATGATTTAGATCGATAGACTGACCTGCTCGAAATGGCTCGGGAATCCCCTCGATACCTCCCAACATCTCTGAAGGAGAGTTTCCAGGATGGACGCTGTACGAAACGATCTCTTTGTCCGCGTACTCGACCGAGATAAACTCGGTCAATCTGGTAAGCGCCAGCTTAGATATCTGGTATGAGCTTAGGGTCGGCGATACGAGGTGAGCTCCGACACTACTGATGTTGATGATAGTTTTAAGTTCAGACTTGACAAGCAGAGGGGCCAAGGCTCGAGCAACGAGATACGGCCCATAGACATTCGCGGTGAGGGTCTGCAACCAGTCTGCAGGCTCAGAATCAGGTATGGACACCATTTTCATGAATGCTGCATTGTTGATCACGACATCAACATAACCGAATGCTTCGTCGATCTTTCGCGCCAAAGCATCAACACTCTCGGGAACACCAACATCCGCCTTGATGGTCAGGACCTCTGGCTCTGGGTGACCTGCTTCTTTTGCCGCAGCTGTGATAGCCTCGGCAGTTGCCGACATGTCAGACCTAGAAGCGACAACAATACGAGAGGTACCAGCTCGTGCAAAAGCTGCACACATGGCTCGGCCATAGCCTCGAGATGCTCCAGTGACGAGAACTACCTTGTCCTTGAAATTGAAGTTCTGTGGGTCAATGGCAGGATAGGTGTCGGAGTGTACCACCGAGGTAAGGTCATAGTCACCTTCATGTAGGTTATTTCATGCCTCAAAATGAAGCACACAAAGAGGGCTTTCTTACCAGGTCCTTCAAGAGGGTTGGGAGTTCCTTTGGGAGGAGGCATGATGATTACGCTTGATATAAACTTTTGTTAATTGTTTTTATCTTGAAATTGAGATGGTAGAATAGTTTGCTTCGAGTTCTCATGACCAAGATATTGAGGCATCTTATATCCGCTCGTCGCAACGGGGTCTATGCAGTTATTACCAAGCTTTAGTGGACTTCGCCGCAGACGGAATTTCCGGCCAGCCACTGAAGCAATCCCTGGCCAATCGCCTGTAAGCGAAAATCCTCAGCCAAGGTTTTTGGTCCTGTCAGCCCATGTCATTACGGATATAAAGACGACGTTGCAGCAATTCGGAGTTTACAGAATTCCCTTGCCAATGCTCTCGACAAATTTATTGAGGGGCGTTCTATGTGCTTGCTAATTACAGCTACTCATACTTGCAGCGATGATGCAGGGTCGCTTACGGTAGCGATCCCAGCCAACAACTCTTCCCAAGTTTCATCTTCCATCAGGCCGAAGTCTAACATTGCTTCTGGCTGCATATTTCCAGAACCGGTACTCGAGAGATAGCCTTCCGAGCTACTCAGTTCAGAAGAGGAGTTCTGCCCATCACTTCCAAGAGAACAGCTTAACAGTCCTGGTTCCAGCCTTTTCGTTTCCTCATATGCAGTTGCCACGGCCCATATCATATCCGAGAAACCAAGCATGATGTCTTCCTCATTGCCGAATTTCTGTACTTGAGATGAGAGATTCTTGAACTTTCCTTGTAGTCGCTTTGCTTCGCTCTTCAAGTCAGCCACCCTCTCAACTGTCATGGCGTCGTGAACAGGAGAACTGATGGCCATGAAAGGGGCATTGAATGAGGCAAGTCCAGTCTCTCTGAAGATTTCGGATGATATCTTGCTAGCATTTGAGAGGCACAAGAGACTTCTGCAAATCTTGGCCGTTGTATAAAACGTGATGTACCAGAGCTCTTCGTCTGGATAGGCTATGACGGCATCGTTCAGCGACTTGCAGCTCAGAATAAGGTTAAACAAAATAGAGACCCTGGTACTGGTCGAAGAAGACGGATTATTAGTTCTAAAGACGTTAGAAGTCGATGTGCTGTCCCAAAAGTCATCATGCAGTGAAACTTCGCCGAGTAAAGTATCAAGCAAGTAGACCTCCATTCTTATAGCAACTGCCAATGAATTTGAGTCAAGCTATGAACCAGAAGTCCTTGGAGGTTGACTCACGGTTGTTTTGAAGATTTGGAGGAATGGAAGCTTTCAACAATGCAGACTCGTTACTCAGCGTCTGCAAAGCCATGGCGCTGACAAACTCTCCCCTCATGCCTGAGTTCTCTAGGTCATCATACCCAAAGGTGTCGCATATACGACGGCACAATTCATTTATACGAACGAAAGAGGGGATAATAAGGTCACTCGCATATTCTGCGTTGTTTAGGAGGAAATCCCAGCTTTGCTTCATATATCCTGTGTATGGTAAAGCACCACGAGTCCGAAACTTGATAGAAACCCTGGACCATTAGTCTACTTCCCTTTAAAAACCCTCGACCTTTCTATACGCACCAAGATGCCGTGCAGTAAGTTCCAAGCAAAGCCCGAAGCTGCTCTGCAGACCTTGCGGCCTTGCGTCTAGGGGCTGTCTCATCTGGCCCAAGATCGACTTTGCGTCTCATATTACCAGGGTTCTGGTCGAGCCCCAGATTCTGGACTAGTGAAACACATAACTGTGCGATCGGAACAATTTGCTGCTTCTCGTAGCTGATGAAGAAGTATTGGTACCATGCTAGATATATCAACAGACCCTGAAGGATTTCAAGAGTGCTTTCTGACTGCATCAAAACTCGCTGATGTGCTTGGTTTCGGATTTCTTCACCGATCTGGTGTTGGACGCTGCAATTCTCGAATTTCATGGTTGCCATGATGCACATGAATAAGAAGGGCTTGGTAGATCTAAGAGAAGCGACGGTAGTTTCGGAAGAAATGGGAACGAAAGGGAAGTGTTCGATCGCTCTGTTACGATAGTTGTCAAGCAATCTTTCTGCTTCAGTCAAGCTGACAAACCCTCGATCAACAACATCTAGCGTCCCCTGAAGTGTTAAGACGTGAGACAGCGGCAATTGGCCAAACTGGTTGCCATCTAGCACATTCATGTTGAGGTCTTCGGCCGCTAATTGTGCGATGAAGCCACTCATGGGCATGCCCTGGGCTTGGTTACCCAGCAGAGCCAAAACTCTACTCAACCTTTGCTCCAGGAGCCGTGTACGGCTAAGCAATGTCAATATATCTTGAAGAAAAGTCCCCTATTTTCATAGACATACGAGGAGCTGGAGGGACTCTTTCGCTTCTCCACAACGTTAAGGTAGGTGCACCGCTTACCAAGCCGATTACACCGCTGGCATTCGTCAGATGAGAATGGCAGGCATTTGGACTTGACAGAGGTGCAATTGACACAAGCTCTCCTTCTCACACCAGAAACTTTGGAAGAGGTACCAGTCGACATTTCGTCTTGTCGTATACTCAGTATCTTGTTGTCGAACACTAGTGTTAGGCTTGAGAGATTATGGAGTGCCTGGTGCCGTCACATTCCGATAGCTTTTGGGCTGCGGAGTTTCCGTCGGGCCAAAAACAAAACTTGGATGTGCAAGATGACGTGAGTCAGCAATTAATACCCAATAGGTGAGCATAATTCTCAATTTTTGTCTAGCTCGATTAAGATCTCATTTGCAGACCTAATGACGTTAGACGCGTCTAGATTGACCGTTTTTGTACAATGTTGCGAAGCTGTCTGCTGCTAGCTAGCTAGTCGTGTTTTTATCGATCAACTCATCAAACACGACCATCTCTTCGAATTTGTCAGCCATTGCATGAACCTGTGCTTCAGCGACCATGTCAGAGACAGGGCCAAAGATGAAACTCGTGAAAGCCTCTTCGGCTGTAGTGTGATGTTCCCCAGTCTGATCAATTCCCTGCAGAAGGTTCTGAGCCTCCCCCGTGGCAATGGCATCCTTCTGCATCGCCATGGATAAGAACGCTTTCGCAACATCGCGGAAAACCGGGTAACAAAAGCACAGGTCTTGCCAGCAGCGAACGCACAGGTAGAAGTAATACCGCCACAGTTGGTCCTGTAAGTCTTCTAAAAGTGCCAAACTGAGCGTGAACAGTCCGGTGTTGAAGAATGTCGTGAACGCAGCTTGTGGATACTTGGCACAGAAGCAGAACACAAGATCTTTCAGCTGGCTCACTGAAGCTGCGTATACTGCTTTTGGATGACTATCCGGGGAGGTCAAAGACATGAGCCGCGTTGAGCGGGGCATTGCAATGAAAGGCCGAAATATCATGGTGGTAACAACATGGAATAGGATACTGTTTGACAATCAGATAAATGTGGGCAGTTACTTACCAAGTAACTCACTGAAATACCATCACCTCAGGTGGGCAGCCGTCTACTCGCTTCATATGACTGTCCAGAGTGCCAGCCCATACTAGCAGTTTCTGATACTTGCCTTCCGCAAAGGCTAGTGGCACGCGCTCCGAGATTGGCGACTTGGCGAAGCTATAAACTCCCAGGACCTCTTGAGCAAGCACCCATAGTCGACAAGCATTCGGGAACATCTTTCCAAGAAAATCAGACCCTGAACATATATAGATCTCCTTCTGGAATGGGCAGGGTTGGAGGGAAGCGGATATGCTTGTGATGATAGTAGAGAACGTGGATCCTAGTCAAACAGAAGAGTCAGGTTGAGTCTGATTTCCCCTTGAGTTTACGTACGTCAGCCAGTTGTAGACTCCCCAAGCAATTTGCGAGGTTGCCCTCACCCATTCGGGTGTATCTGGATTGACGGCATTCAGCGTCAGTAGACCATCAACTTGACCACCACAGAGCCCGAGACGTTCTTCTTCATGGCGAAGCGATTGCGTACACTCCTGGCCTATGGCATCTTTTCCTTCAAAAATGCAGGCCGCGCTGAAAACGCCCATAGCAGCTAAAGAGATGAACGATGGATCAGATCGCTCTCCCTGCCAGAGCATTTCAGCCTCCTGGAAGGCAGCGTTACGAATTTCATTCGTCCCCGGATTAATCGCAGGGTACCCTTGCTTTTCAGCCTTAGCATCAACATGTCCGCATTGTCATTGAACAAACTACTTACGCATGCGATACATAAGACTGAGCTTACCAAAAAAGGAGAACAGAATCTCTGGCGGCACTGCACAAGATCATCGAGGAACAGGTCAACATCGAAGAAGCCGAGAATCTTGTGATCGTTTGTGATATAAAATGATATCAATTCTGCAGCAACTTCATTTGACACCGGGACCTTTGTCCAGTAATTGATCTGGAGCTTCTCGAGACGACTGTCGCAATACCCCCCAAGCGAGGCTAGCATCAAGCTTTGGGTTTCACCAGGGTTCTGAGCCCCGTATGACAAATTCAGAGTGATATCGTTCCCCGCAGACTTCACCTGATTATCGCTGTGCTGTCTGAGCAAAGCTCTCAAACTTTGCAGATCTACCGGGGGTATCCTGGGGTATGCCATACTGAACTGCGCGTTGAGCTCAAATTCAGTGGCTGATCCAGTTGGTGGCGCAATTGCCCGAGCATTTCGGAGATTCGAAGGCTGAAAGGTTAAGTTAGTGCTGCTGTTGCCTCGTATGGACGACAAGACAGGAAGTGAATCGGGGTTGTCTCGAAGCCGCTGTAGCACATCAGCGGCTTGGTCGATGGGTAACGAGCGCAGGAGGTTTATAAAGTCGGACTGGGCCTGGCAGTGTTGCTCGCTGTCTTTGAGTCGGTCTAATATCTGCTCTTCTTCTGGCCGTAGTGAGCTACGGTACTGCCTATACACACATTCTGTTTTGGCCCGTATGCATGCTGGGCAACTTGGCTTTGCACCGTTACACTGAAGCGAATAAGTACGCGATAACTCGATACGCATAGCAGCGCGGGCGGGACTGACGCTAATTTTCTTACTTCGACATCGATCACATGCAATGTGATTACGGGACCGACGTCTCTTTCGGCTGTCGCTCTCTTCGAATTGAATATTAATGCTCGACGCTGGAGTTGATGTCCCACCGGGATGAGGTTGGATCGGTGTATACTTGGGATCCATATTTGGCGAATGGTAAAAGGTGTCAAAAAGTTGAGCTTCGAGGAGGGATGACATCTAGAAGACGTCATTTCCTTTCACTTTGTGAGGAGTCCTGAACCAATCAGATGTACCGTGGATTGTCCCCTCCGTTGCCTCCGATTGGATTGGACTGTCTCAGACTCGGTAAATGTTATCCTGTGTTTCACCAGATGTCACGACCGATGCTATGGCGGTTACATAAAACGATTACTTATTAATCTCTGACTATCTTCACTTTTGATACCATCCACTGCCTATAGCCTTTGTCTTGGCAGGGCCAACATACTTCTTCTCGTACGCGGCGAACTTCTTACTCGCCGAAGATCCCTTGGCATCGGGGAAATCGACTTTGCAGCCGAGAGCCTTGTACCCAGGAACAAGAGCATCCGAGACACCATTGAGAATCGACTGCAAAAGCTTCACGGAGTTGAAGAGCTCAGAAGGGAAGTTGGCGAAGATTGCATTGTACAGGAAGCAGCTCAAACCTTGAGGATCAGTGGGCAAGTCCAGCGGACCAACAACCCAGCTACCGTCCGCACCAGATCCTCCCAAGGCTGGCTGAGCGTAGAGATACACATCAAGAATGCCGCCAACGGCCTCAGGGATAGTCATGGGTGTAGCACGTCGGTACCAGCCATGCTCAGGAATGCGCTCAGGAACATGAGTGTATTCAAGATCTTTATCCTTCCAAGCGTTCTTGCGCTTTGGCTTGGCGCCGTAGAAAGAAGTGATTGAAGCTTCATTGGCAATACCGCCCGCGCCAATGGTGCCGTTTGAGAAGAAGCCAGGGATGAAATAGTATGCGCCCATAACAACTGCGGCACTCGGGACGTTGAAGTAAAACTGCTTGTTGGCGGCCTTGGAGTCTCTGTATCTGTTCTTGAAGTGTTCCTTGATCGCACCGACATTGTAAGTGCCATCGCCCTTAGCGAGAGCCTGCTGGTGCATCTGCTTGAAAAGTCCTGACTTGAATGAAATGTTGTCTCCGTTGAGGTAGAAGTCTTCGCGTGTAGCAGACGCGTCGCCTTCGTTGAACTTTCCTGCTCAGCTTGTTAGTGACAGCCATGGCGTATGGTCTTAGGATTGATGGCTTACCATGTCCAGCGATACCAGATGGCTTGCCAAATATCTTGTTCAGAGCGCCATTCAGGAGCCCGACACGGTTATCAGGGCCTCCGATGCTCATCTTCTGGGACAGAATATCGCCACCGACGACAGCGCCACCGACAGCAAGGAGAGCGGAAAGATCTGCGCCCATGTTGAAGAGCTTTGCAGTGCCAGCTTGGATCTGGCCGATCGTAGCGATACCGTTTCGGGGGATATCTATGAATTGTGAGCTGCCTACTCGTGTGTCCTTTAGTGCTTCAGCTTACATCCATGGTTGGCCAAGGTGTTAAGACCAGGGCAAGGGCCTCGCTGGTCAGTTTTGCCAGGCGCCTTGAAAGGGTGAGAGGCTTCAGGGAACTTCTGCAGGCCCTTGACGGCCTTGTTGGTAGGAATCAGACCCAAGACATTATCGACGACGGCTTCGACGGTGCCTCCAAGCAAGGACACGACGCCACCTACGACGCCAGTCTTGAGCTGATGAGGCTCATGGTCCTTCTCTTCTTGGCTAACTTGGTGCTCTTTCAAGCGTCGGTCAATCTCTGCACGCGCTTCCGGGTGGTTCAACAGGGCATCCAATCCCTCCGGGGCCAACCAGGGGAAAGAAAGAACGGAGGGGACGCAAAGCGCGGCAGCGACAGCAGAGAAACGCATCTTTACAACCAGATGTCAATCGATTTCCAAGTCAGGTACCTTCTGAATGCTAACCAGGATATCAAGAATAGATTTTGGATACTATATATGCATTTTTTAAGATCCACTAATGGGGTTCCTCCCTGGACACGCTTTTTGAGAATGCTATGATGGTATCTGACGTACTCGAAATCACGATGCAAGGCTTGACAGGAATCAGAAAACGGTTCTCTACAGAAAAGCAATATGTATGTTTGCTAGCCATTGTGCCATTGTACATGCGACTGGTTGTTATCAGGGACACTAAAGTCAAACTATCGATTTCCTAGGTCTATTCTGGTAATACATCCTGGCGAGACTCATAAATAGGGTAACGGTCTCCGGTTCAGCCATGTCGATCATAATGAGAATGCGGAGGATTTCAAAACCCTTCTGATCATTGGCCACAGATGGTGATGATGAGCGGATCGAAACGTTTCCTTCCTGCAAGTGCAGGGGATATGGCCCAGATTTTCCTGTCTTGCGCTGAGAAACACGCCAAGAAGAGACAGGATGACGATCTGATCGTAGATCGGAGAGCCGATTCCTTGGCTGAGGCTCAAATGTGGGTTCGATCATTGGGTCAAAATTGACAAGTAACAGTTCTAACGTGGTAGACTCCAGGCAAGACATTCATCGTCATCAGCGTCAAGTTAAATAGCTCTCCCTCATATCGACGATTCTATGAATGGATCTTGTTCTTCTCAATGAGAAGATTAATCACGACTGAAATGCTTTTCGTATCCTATCATATTCGTTGGAAGTTTGAACGATGTATTATATTGCTCCCGTGAAGTGATTCATGTGGACCTCAAAATCTCACTCACATCCAAATGCTGGGTATGTACGGATCCGCTCCTCGGATATTGGCAGATCCGTTCTGACGGTTCCTTGCTTTGCTTCTAATTGGCCTTGATGAGGTCCGGTGCAGCTATGGAGCTTGACGTTGATATGTGATTATCTTGACGTTGAGCTAGACCGACGCTAGTGCTAATATTCGACCTAGGAACGGGTTTGCTATTGAGTAAATACTTTACATTTAGGCCATTTTCTAAGCTTGAATTCTCACTTGGTATACTTCAAGTGCTATGCCGAATGTCAATCAACCTGCTTGACTCTTGTATTTAACTGCTGTACTAATATAAGACGTAAAGCTATCTTGCAACCTCTAGACCTCTAGAGAGGCCAAAATGGGCTTGTAACACATCCTGTACAAAACATTACAAACAGTTTAACTCTCCTTCCAGTGCATTACGATCCACCAATATGGGTGCTTTAACTTACATATGAATTCAATACTGCCAATAGACTTATCACCATCATTGAACTGGAGAACATCGATGGTCAGCTGCCAGACCGTTGCTAAGACATAAGCGGTAAGAGCCTTATCGGGCTTCTTGTGAGTCGGACCTGTCATTTTTATTATTAAAACCAATAATCTTTTCATTACATGGCATAGATAGAGGCTATTCTAACAGCTGCATTTACATCATTCATTAAATTATACATATTTAGCGACAGTGTCCTTGGATATGTTGATATGATATAGTCAGAATGTAATATCACAAAGGCCAGAGAGCGGACAGAGAACGAAGGACAAATGATGAGAAAGTCTAAAAAAAAAAGAAATGCTTCATAGCAGCTACTGGTTTCGATCCAGTGACCTCCGGGTTATGAGCCCGGCTGTGATGAGTTAGTACGAATTTTGAATTCTCTCTGTGGAGAAGAACATACCGCGCTTCCACTGCGCCAAGCTGCTTTGCTTGAGCTTATGTAATAGTCGATCACTAAAATTGGAATATGTACCCGGAAGAGCTTCACTGGCGCGTCCCCAGAGGGCCATCAGTTGCTTCTCGTTGAACATCACGACGTGCAGTGCAGTTATATTTTAGCAACAAAAGCCAATTTCCCCAATTTTGCTACCAGTTGAACTTTTGTGCTTTGTCAGTTCACTCTTATGGTACGTATTACAAGCGATCTACTCCAGCGCGAGATCCTGATGTCAAAATGGCTATTTTTATCCAGGCACAGCCGCACAGATGTACAGATAAGCCTTCTTACGCGAGGACGCCAACGGACCTTGATAAGTGTCTGCCTTCCTCCCGACGGGAACTGCTGAACTTTCTACGGAATGACCGGACCAATTTACGATTCTATTGGAGATGAGTCATTTCGTATTGTTAACTTGGCGGCTTCTTTCATGTCTCACGAAACTGCATCAGTCGTTTCAAGGCAGAATTCTTGTTGTTGGTCTCACTAGATTGGCTCGGATTCGCCCCACATGTCTAGCGCTGACAGCTCGTCAATCAAACCGTGCAAGGGACCAGCGGGTCCCTCATATTCTCCGAGCCTGGCATGTAAGTATTAATAACCGCCATAATTATCATGTCAAAAGAACAGGTAATAATACCCGTCTTCTTTGCAATGTCTGTTTGGTCGATATCGGATCAGTTCCTTGTTGTCGCATCGAATTCTCGCTTTAGTATATTGCATTATCGCCATCATGCAGCAAGTTAGAAACTCTCCCCTCTCAAGGGCTCTTTTCAACATCTGGATATGCATTTGGACTCTCATTGTACTTTCGATATTCGCTCTCGCATGTCTTGTTCAAGCAGGCACAATCAACATGCCAGACTGGACCAAAGATCTACGAAAATTCGACGATGAAGAATGGGCTCAATATTCAGCCATATTGATCATATCAATCTGCGTTCTCTTCGTCCTAACAATGGTCACTGGGATAGCTGCCCTTCGAGCCGATGGATATTGAACCTGCACGACCGAACTTGCGAGTCCTTGACTTTAAACACGCTCCCCACAGCGGATAAGAAGAAGATCCTCTCGACACATAAAAGGGCCTCTCAACTTTGACAGCAACCAGCTCTACAGGAGCCATGTGGCAAAGTTCTGTCTTCTAAGACCGATCACAATCCCCGGTGTCGCCAGAGAAGACTTTGTCGCCCCGAGGACTTTACGAAAACGGGTATTTGGGACGATACTCTCAACCCTTTAGAAGATAACACTCGCTTCTTCTCTGGCCATATGTGTTCAGTAACTCGGCTACCCATATATCCCTTTGACGACAGGCGGATACACAGCTAGCTTCGACATATGAAGGAAAGAGGGGTCCAAAAGAAAACACATATGGGCGTCCCGCTCGATTGACAATGGCAGTAGGGGGGACCTGGCGGCTCAGTATTAAAGAACTGAGTTCGAAGTGAAATGATGGAGCTTGCTCTACTCTTAGATATCAGGGAACATTGAGTGCAGCTTAATTATATTATACTATTCAACCCCAGACTCTAAAACAGCAAAAGTATCAGTCTCAGAATTAAGCTCAGCCAAGGCATCATACGGCAACGTGACCATCGGTGTTGTATGCCCAATGTCCACATTAAATAGGATCGGGAAGCTCTTTGAAGCAAGCCGACCCTCGCAGAATAGTCCCTTGATGATGCCAGCATAAACCTCCCGCTCTTCATCAGAATCATATCCATAAGGCCGTCCTACAACCAGTCCTGCAGCGTCTTCGAAGACACCGTGAGCTATCAAGTCTGCGAATGCTGCCTGTACTCGGTGAGGAGGGTTTCCACCAGAACCATCCTCGTTCGTAGCTGTTTCGAGGAAGACGATTCGGCCACGCCAGTCAGGAACAATAGCTGAAACTCCCGATAGACGGGCGACTACGGTAAGGCATCCACCGAACAGTCGACCCTGAGCTTTTCCATGTCGTAGCCATTGCCAGTCTGTTGTCTTCACAGTTGCAGGTGGCTCTGTGGATTCTGGTGTCGCAAAGAATGGTGCTCCTCTTGGTGCGTAGAACTTGGATCGGGGAATCTGTCCGAGTGGTTCTGTAGATGCAATCGCCCGAAACAAGTTATCGACACAAAAGGCAAGAGGGGTATCTTTGTCGTTGACATCATTCGCTTCCCCGATCTCGGGTACAGCACCAGGACCATAGAAAGTCCTGAGACCCGTCAACCCATACAAGAACCAGTGCAAGCCCGAGATATCGGAATATCCCACCACGATCTTTGGGTTTGCACGAATCGTCTCGTGAAGTTCTTTATCCGCAATCAGGGCCGGAAGAAGCTCTGTGAAGGTTGTACCGCCAATGGTAGTGATGATGGCGGAGATGCTGGGGTCAGAGAAAGCGGCTCGAATCTCGGAGAGCCGGTTATCAATGCATGACTGAATGCCCTTGTCTTCACTGAAGAAAGTCTGCACTTGATAGCCTTTGTTTGTGAGAAGAGCAGCGGCTCGGTCTACGACTGCTGGAAGCGGGGCGTTGATACGCTCTGATGGCGATATGAATGCGATTTTGTCACCAGGCTTCAGGTGTTTCGCTCGAATTGGTGAAGGCATGATGAGAACTGAGCGAATTTGTCTGGGAGCTAATTCAAAAAGGGAATCGTCCTTAAAAGTATATGCGAAGTTTTGATGTTTCGAGTAGTGTTGGTTCACCTGGTTGATGTTGTATCTCGTCAGATCCAGTGAGGGGTCAATGGCGGATTTTAATATCTCCACTGAGGACCTTGCGTAACGTTATGTCGTGATCTCGCACATCACCGGCTCAGCATACCTTTGCGTAATCAGTATATTTCGTGAGGCCTAGAATGCCGTCGCGCCCTTCAAGCGACACACGAGTAACAAAAGTTCCATCATTCGCCATTTTCGCTAATGCCCACAAGACCGTCATCCTTGCTCGCTTGCTCCATTTGGTTACTCTGGTCCACCGATAAGTCCCTTCGGACATCCGTCTCATTCTTGATTATTAACGCCGTTGGCCATCATTTCGTCACCCATTATTTGCGTATCCACGATAGGAAATAGAGACATTGTCGTATCAAAAGAATCAAACCAAAGCATGTTTGGTGAAATACCCAGAAAAGCATCCGCTGAAATATCGACGTCAATCTCTGTCTGCTCTCCTCCCTCTATCGAAAACCCTTGCTGTTCCTCGGTCATCTCGTTCGCTACCT